CCTGACAAGTTTTTTGCGATCCCAAATTATTTTTCATGGATATTTCCTTGTAAGGAAAAATATTTTGCTTTGAAGGGTCATTATATTTTTGTCATTCTCGAGGGTTAAAAAGGTAACGTCATGGATGGGTTTCTTGAGTTTAGCTCACCAGACACGGTTAAACGAAGGTTTCATTTTGAGCTCTTATCGGTTGGCCTGCAAGTATCCGAAACCAACAACAAAATGATTGGAACAATCGACGGTGTGGCTTTAATAAAGTTGGTGCTGCTGTTTTGTCTCTTCGTTTACATCCGAAGTGCCAGCACAGTCGCCCCAGCCAAGGTAAGATGAAGTGAAATACGATAAATTATTACATTTGAAAGGTGATCAAGACTTGGAAGATTTCCACAAGGTTTATTAATTAACGACTCACCGAGCTTAAACTGAGTCTTCCGAAACAAGAAAGATTTATTTCTTTATTCCACGCGTGGATTTTACATACCACAGTGGTCTTAGTGCTGTCATCCCAGCCGTTCCGCATCTTCTTGTTCGCATTTGTTTATTTATTTATTTATTTATAGATATTATTAATTTGTAGGCTGTTTTGCTTGTGTTTGATCTAACCAAATATATATTTTTTGCACAGACCTGACCCCAGTATGTGCGCGCAAGGATCACCTGGTATTTCGGAACGAAATGGGCATAATGGATTACCCGGCGAGGATGGTCGAGGCGGTGCTAAGGGTGAAAAAGAAGTGGCAGCTCGACATGGACCACGTGGTATAAAAGGACAAGCGGGAAAGATCGCTGATGAAGAAAGGAACTGAAAGCAGTGCGCGTGGAAAAAGGCTGACGGCCGTGATGTTGGCCTTATTCAGGTGAGCGGGAGACAATTCTTTATTCAGAGTCGGTTGTACTGGACCTAATTATAGCAATTCACAAACTTTTGTCAAATGTCCTAGTCCATATTTGTCCAGATATCCTTGTCTTTAGCTCGTCTTTAGACTGTTCACAGTCCTTTATTTTTCCGTAAGATCGTCGAGATCGAGCGCTTTGCGTTACGAGCTGCCATCTTGCATGAGTTTCAAAACTACTTAGGAGGCGGAGGCGGGACGGGGCCCCCTAGAGCCATAATCCCCGCCGCCCGCCGCCCGCCCCCTCGGTATATTGGAAAATCAAGATGGCCGCCATTAACGGTGAGACGCGCTATATCTCGACGATCTCACGAAAAAATAGGGGGAATATGAACGGTCTAATTCGTCTTAATAGGGTCTTTGAAATAAGACTTCACTTCTTTACTCAGTGACTTAGTTGGCTGTTTGTTTTAAACTTAATTTGTAACGGACATAGTAGGAAATTCAAAATTTACCCTACTTGAATCTTTCATAACTCCGAACGCAGTCGTGTTACACCTTATATCTAGGTTTCGCTCGTTCATAAAATCACTAGTTGTGGCTATCAGAAACTTAAACTAAACTCGTCTAATACAAAATTCAGTTTTTAAACCATAACCTTGGCTTTACGTAGCACACAGCATACCGTCAGATGTCTCAGGTAACCCGAACAAAATGGTGGTTTGAAAAAAATTAATATGCTGCCGACCCCGGCTATACTACCCTCACCTTCCCTTTCCCCTCCCCACAAGACAAGATCACGATCGTCATATGAGTGAAACTGTCGGTTGAATTGTTCAACGATAAAGTGAAGTCTCTTGGCTGGCCGAGAGCCACTCTGGGAAAGAGGTGTTTTGAGTACTCTAGACCATATGAATGGGGCCTTAGAATATTCAACAGCTGTTTATATGGAGGGAGGAAGATCCCAGAAGGCGGAACAACTTTGCGTTGGGTTTACATGCAGAAATTTTAGTCCGCGTGAATAAAAAGTAGGGAATAGAATTGGCGGGCGATAATAACAAACATGTCATTTAGGGCCCTTTTGCTTTCTTTACTAGGCAGCGTTAATAACTACTTTTCACCAGCTGCAGATGGCAGACAGTTCTTTACAACTAGTAACGCCAAAAGAAATTGTGCGCTTTCTTGCCATAGTTATCCACTGAACGGCCCGCCGCCATTTTTGTCTGGTTTATCCCTAGTCCTAGTACCTTCTTAGCAAAAGCAGTTAACGTGGTATAAGGATCTTCATAGTGCTAGGAAGATCCTAGCGCTAGGAACAAGCACAACCTTTTGCATGTAAACTAAATACAGAAAACATATGGGGCTAGGATGATCCCCCTTGTAGGATTTTCCTGGTGCTAGGATCTTCCTCCCTCCATATAGACAGCCCCTTAAAATGATGGTGGGTGAATGCGGTAGGGAAAGAAATTTCCTACAGCTTGCAATTCCGATATAAGTGAAGGACTCAACAGACTCTTCTTTTTCTTTTAGTGGCATTTTTTTAGCCAGTTACATGTGTGTCTGTAAATGAATACACACAACACTCCCTGCGTGATATCGGTGATTGCTTTGCATTGTACTACTATCTCATTGGCTAAGAGCCTACAGTTAATTTTTGAAATCAGAGCAACTTACAGATTAGTCATTTATCTGTATCTGCTAGCAGATATCTGACCAATGTGGTTTCGAGAGGCCGCGATCCTTTTGATCAGCCACGGGGAGTCGGGCATGACAAAAGGGACCCGTGGGGAGGAGGTTGATAGGATCTGTAGGTTGCGCGCGCAGAGCATGATTTCCAAGAGCAACCTCAAACTGTGTTGCGTGTGATGGTGTTTTTGTCGTTATTTTCTTCAAAATAATGCACAATAAAACAGTTGTAATTATATGACCTCGGTCTTCGAACAAACAATTGTTGGATGAAGTTTTTGTGATATCAGAAATAAACTCGAATTCTCTAAATCTTTTCGAATTTAAGAGGGCTGAACGTCTTCTCATTGAAAGGTTTTAGCGTTGGAACTTGTAGGTCATTACAGGTCTTATAATGCTTACATTTTTAGACATGTTTAACGAGTGTATACCAGTCCCAGCTTCTTTCTTGTAAACTTAAGTTATATCTTCTTTTATTAGTAATAAGACATATTATAATTCGCTTATTCTTGAGAATATGGTAAATTAATCATACTTAACTTACAAAAACTCTGCAAAGAAAAACTTTCCAATTGGTGGTGGTTACGCATAAAGGTTCTGCATGCCAGATATACAAAGAAAACACACAAAAGTAATGGGCAAAATTCTGGTGGCAGGGACGCGCTTAACTCTAAGGGGACCAGGAGAGAAGCCCTCCTGGGGGGAGACAAGATCGAATGGTACCGGGGATAGCCACCCTGGAAAGGAGTCCGGATTAGTCTCCAGGAGTAAGGCCCATATCCCCCAGTCAGTAGGAACTAATGGGAATCAGGAGGGGTGGCCCTCCTGGGTGGAGTGCAGATCAGGTAGGACAGGGGGTTCACACCCTGGAGTGGATATTTTTCAGGTCCTGTCTTTTAACGCTAAGACTTACTGTGGGGTAAAGTGTAGCCAGGGATTCCACTGCACTTCCCTGTCACTATTTTTAATGGAAAGAAAGACAGTAGTGCCATAGCCCAGGACCTAACGAAGGAATGTGACCCAGTCTGGTATAATACCATAATACAATTGATTAATATTGTATAGGCATTAAGATGCAGAGGAACAAAATAATGATCTGCTTGATGTACATTCTAGTTGGGCTAAATATATAGTGATCATAAGGAGTACAACATGTAACTTACAGAGCTAAACAAAGGTTCCAGTCAGAAAAGAAAGGTGGGTGGGGGCGGGGGGTGGGAGGGAAAAAACGCTCTTGTGAACCGAAGCCCTAAAAAAACTGACTGGGAAAGGTCAGTGTACCGCATAAAGAAGAGCACATGTGCATGATGAGCATGTGATACTATGAATGGAACCTTTGTGGAGTCTAGAAAATACATCATGCTAAGTTAAAGAGGACTTTGCAGAGGAGAAGGATACAATGTAATCGATCAACTAGTTTCTGTTCGTTGTTCTTTCTTGTACTTCTGACTGGTATCTACGGTTACTTAGTACAAAAGCTTATTCGAATGTTGAACATTGTGTGACGAGAGGACAGAGACATAATTGTTGTAGTAGGTCACCTTGTGTGCTTTCATAGGGCATAATATCAAGTTTATGAACATCAGTTTATGTAACCATAAACTTTAACTGAAGGACAATACAGCTCTTCCGGTTGTCTTCCAAGAAAACAGTTATTTGCGAAGTTGCATTCGATGGTTAATCGCTTTCATTTTCCGGCGCTGAGCGCAGCGGACCTCCGCCTATTGACGTAGCCCTATGGATCCCCAATAGTAACTCGGCTGACTAAAGACACGGAGCAATAGCATGGGTTACTATGACAACATTTAAAAAGGAAATATCCGTGTTAGCATCAATATTGGAAAATGTCCCGGTTATTGAAACTCCAATGGTATTACGTGGTCGATTTCTATCAGTGTCTCGTTTGCCTATTGAAGAGGTTCCTCTGTACCAGTGACAAATCTGCGAATTTTTAATTTATATCTGAGTATTTGTAAATTTATGACACGCGTTTAAAATAAATAAATGAAAAGTTATTGTTGGCAACAAATTCAATCAGCATGCAACTGAAAGCCTCTTAACTCTTTCATTATAATAAACTGGTCGTCAAGCTTCAAGACGGTGCTTCTTTCCAAAAAGCATTGGACACCCCGTTCATATTGTAGCTTTAACTGGGCTAGGTGGAGCGAGAATTTACACTTCATCAAGTGGTACCTTAAGTACTGCGAGGCATTGTAAAATGGTTCCCCAATGCCTACGGTCAGAGCCTGACCCTGAAATGCTTTTGCGGTCCCAAAATATTTCCATGGATATTTCCTTATAAGGAAAAATATTTTGCCTTGAAGCCAAGAGTTATTCTATTCTTGTTATTCTCGAAGGGTTAAAAAGGAAAAGTCATTTTAGTCATTAGTGTTTGGCTTTCACGCTCACCAGACACGGTTAAACAGGTGTTTCATTTTGAGCGCGTTCGTTTGTCTGCAAGTGTTCGAAACCAAGAACGAAATGTTTGGAACAACCGGCGGTGTGGCTTTGATGAAGTTGGTGTTGCTGTTTTGTCTCTTCTGTTGCATCCGAAGCGCCAGCACAGTCGTCCCAGGCAAGGTAGGGTAAAAATATGATAAATTATTTCATTTGAAATATAATTAAGACCATCTTTATTTCTTCTTGGCGTCACAATGTTCTTTCTTATTTCTCATAACATTCTCCACACCCCATCAGCATACACCTAAAGCTTGCTTCAGTACATATTTGTTAAAAAAAAATTCTTGATACGATTGGAGCACATCCACTTACACATTCTTGGAAGATTTCCACAAGGTTTCTTTATAACAGAGGCACCTAGCTTAAACTGGGTCTTCTTAAATAGGGAATTTATTTGTTTATTTCACGCGAAGGTTTTACTTGCCACAGTGGTCTGAGTGGCCTGTTCCAGGAGTTCAAATTGGAGGGACGGGGCAACGAAGATACGAGCAGAAAAAAAAAACAGTGAGGGGGGTGGGGTAGGGGAAGAGGGCGAAGTTCCCTCCTCTTTCCCTCTCTTCTTCCTTATTTTTCTCTGCTCTCTCATTTCGTGCCGCACTCCACAAACTGAACGCCTGGAACAGGCTATGGTCTGAGGGTGTCAGCGCAGCCCTTCCATATCTTCTCGTTCTTATTTTTTTATCTATTTCCATTTGTATTTATTTATTTATAACCTAGCTAAGAAATAGAGATGCTTTTTCCAGTTTGGATTGTGACTCTTTTTTCCGCATCATTTGAAACAAGGTCAACCACATACTTATGGCGCTTTCCACTTGTCAGAAATTCAAAGTGGCCGACCATTCCCTTCGCAACGAGAATCTAACTGTGAATCAAAACTATCCAGCCATCAGTCAAATCCTAAATAGCATGCACGAACGAATGGTTTTTCATTAAAAGCTCTTGGAAAAAGCCTATTCTATTTTCGGAATGACTGCTCCGGGCTATGGTCCTCATCTTTCGACTGTTACGTAACATCTAGGCTATTTTGCTTTCTTTTGGTCTTACTAATTTAATTGTTACCTCATAGAGCCCCAGTATGTGCGCACAAGGATCGCCCGGTCTTGCAGGACGAAATGGGGTGAATGGGCATAATGGGTTACCAGGCCGCGACGGTCGAGAGGGTGCTAAGGGCGAGAAGGGTGTGGCAGGCCCTCCTGGACCACGTGGTTTCAAAGGAGAAGCGGGAATAGTCGCTGTTGAACAAAGAAACTGGAAGCAGTGCGCGTGGCAAAAGGGTGACGGCCGTGATATTGGCCTTATTAAGGTGAGAGGGAGACAATTACTGATCTCTTTATTCAGATTCAGTTTTACTGGACCTACATGTAATTAAAGGAATTCACAAACGTTTCTCAAATGTTCCAGTCTATAGTTCAATTTGTCAGCTATTCTCTCTTTAATTGGATAAATCTTTCTTCAGTTATGTTCCACTGTTTTTCACTGAACCTTGACGAACTAACTCCGAACTCTGCCTTTGTTTTTCTTAGAGTTATTTGAGTTTCGGTTGTTGATTCGATCACTAGTTGTGGGCATTAGATACTTAAAACCATGAGATTTGCTATACGTAGCACAAAGCTTACTGCAAGTTGTCCTAGGTAGCCTGAACAAAATGTTTAGGTGACAAAATTGCAAGAATAGGCAACCCCACCTAGAGTAACCAGGGATCAGGTGTTTTCCTCCTCCTCCTCCTTCTTCCTCGTCTTCTTCTTCGTACAGGCAAAGGGGCCGGCAAGGGAAGAAGGACCGCCTGATCGAAGGTTACACCCCGAGTTGCCTTCTCCACTCCCCCTCCCTCCTTCCCCCCACTCCCCCTCTACTAGTGTTCTACGAGCTAGCGGTATTTGACAACAGCCGATTTAAAAAGGCGCTACTTCACTTCAGTTAAGCGATCGGCTCGCATGGGTAGGGCTTTCCCGGGTACCCGGCGAACGATATAAATGTGGCATTAGAAATCTATGAATGATTTGGTGTATGAGGTACGGAAAGAATCATAGGGCAGATGACTCAAGGGATTCTTCAGTCATTTACTTTCCGTGACATTTTTTTGGCCTGTTATATTGTCCAAAATCAATATACACATCGCTCTTTGCGTTATATCCGTACTTTAAGACCGTAATTGACTCTCTGAACTAAGTCATAACATTGCAAGTAAACAAACATTACGATTTGAATAACAATGTGTATCACATTTCATGGTGTTCTTTGTGGCTCTACTTGCTAACAATAATTTAATGCTGTGTTTTCAGAATTGCCAATTTACTAAGATTAAAGACGATACAGCTCTTCATGTTGTATTTCAAGGAAATATCTATCTGGGAGGTTGCGGGAGCTGCTGCAAGCGATGGTTCATCACTTTCAACGGCGTCGAGTGTAGCGGTCCTCTGCCTATTGACGCAATGCTGTTTATCCACAATAGTAACTCAAATGACTTCAGACACGGAGCAATAGAAGGCTACTGTGACAACATTGGAAAAGGGAATATCCGTGTTGGCATCAACATTGGAAACTGTCTTGGCAATAGAAACACCAATGGTTACACGGGGTCGACTTCAGTGTCTCGATTGATTATCGAAGAAGTTCCCCAGTCCCAGTGACAAATCCACCGATAAGAACATGTTACATAACTGAGTATTTGTAAAGTTATGTAAATCCTTTAAAATCTGGTCATAATTTCGCGATTGTTAATGTCAAAGAAGGACAAGACGAGACAAGACAAGACAAGACAAGACATTTATTATCGTAACATTACAAGTACAATTGTTTGGCACGCAGTTAGCAAGATAACGCTAGTCGAGGCGTGCCAAATAAATTCTATTACAAATCAGATATTATATTATAATAAGTAAAAAGCAAAGAAAAAGAAAAGAAGAAATATGTGTAATGAATTCAAAAGCAAGAAAGACAAATCTGTTTAATGCAACCTGTCAAAGAGGCTAAGGTTTAGCATTTCCGCTAAAATAAAGAACACAATAGTACCAACGTAGTTCCATTAGTAGAAACAGAAAATTATAAAGCTTCTCGTGTGACTAATTAAAAGCAAACTTGTGAAAAAAACTGTATAGAGAGTAAGATGGACCATAGACATTCCATACTTTAGCGCCAAAAATTGGGACGGCTTGTCTCAGTTTTTCAAGATTAAATTTTTTGATGTACATATTATTTTTAGAGGATGATCTTGTGTTATATTCATGAATAGATGATGTCTGCGAGAACAAGTTAACGATTTTTGAAGGTGCAGAATTAGTATGAATATCACGCATTAGGTAAGATACGGACTTAAAATAGAGAAAGCTAATTGGCAGGATATTTGAATCAATAAAAAGAGGAATGGCATGAACTTTCCTGTTTGCAAAAAATATGAAACGGATAATTTTTTTCTGAAACAATAAGATTTTTGTTAAAGGTGTTTTTGACGCCTGCCCCCAAACTATTAAACCGTAAGATAAATAAGGCTAGATTAACGCACGGTAAATATTTAGCAAGGTATGTTGAGGAACAAAGTGCCTCAATTTAGCGATTAAACCAACCGTTTTACTTAATTTAGCAGCTACATTGTCAATGTGTATTTTCCACGAAAGATTTTTGTCAATCAGAATGCCTAAATATTTAACATCATTTTTCATTTCTAAACTAACGTATTGATTGGTGTCAGTATCGAAGATCTTAAGTTGGGGAAGGTAGTCGATAGACTTCTGGTAAGGATGAAAAATAACAAAATTGTGTTTTTTGGTATTAAGGTTTAATTTATTTGAGGCCAGCAAAAGATACAACTTTTTTAGCTCAGAATTTACTGTTGCCTCAAGTGACCTTAGGTTCTTGTTGGCATACAGTATGTTAGTATCATCAGAAAAGAGGTAGAAATTAAAAGTATCAGAGCAGGTATGAATATCGTTAATATATAAGAGAAAAAGCAAAGGACCTAGTACAGACCCCTGTGGAACACCATTAGATATTAGAGCTGTATCAGATAATTGTTTGTTTATTTCTGGTATATATAGATTTAGCCAGGGCTAAAAGCGGAGCTCTCTATAATATTTAACGTTTTTTCAAACAAAATATAAAATCGTGTAATGCTAAGCAGCGAAGGCAACGCCGGAGAACGGTGAAAAACAACAATAGGTCTAATTAGCAAAAAAAAAAAAACTTTGCACGCGCAGCACACTTTGTTTGTACATTTCTTTGCCGTTGTTTTGCAGGACTACAACGTGAAACTGCCAGTTAGTTACACGTTTTTTGGAGGAAATGTCGTACGTGTTCCCGTTCACTTTTTTTTTCACTGCCGCTCATTTTCACCTTGTATTGGTGGCCGCTAGCATTTCTCATTTTGTCACCACCGCTACAAAATTTTCATGTTGTTTTTCCAACAAAAAATTTCTCCTTTGTTTTTTTTCTCGTTGAGCTTCGCTGGCCTGCCGCCTACTTTCTCTCTTTCTCTGCCTTTCCGCTTGCTCTATATTCCAAATTTGTGGACATGGCTATTAAACTAAACTTAATGCTTTAGACACCACGGATAAAGAAACAATTTCCGCATTCCGTTTTCGTGTTTGTTGACTCTTTAGTTGTCTCTGCTTTACAAGACGCGGGTGGTTATCTGATTTCCCGCCAAAATAACCTCGAGTTGCATTTGGGTTGCCATATCTGTTGATTGAGTTATTTTACATTGGTATGCCTGTGGTGCAGACGGACGGTTGGTCGGTCGCTCGGGCAGTGTACGGTCACATGATTACCAAATTTTCTAGGATGGGTATATTTACTTAGCTATTGGGCTCCGCACGCGCGCGCGAAGCGCGCCTGTGGAACTCCGCTATAAATGGCTACAAACGTTTACCTATAAGTTCGGTACACACTAGGCGACAAGTTGCAGCAACAAGTCGCAACGACAGATCACTCAGTGTGTACGGTTCCGGCGACTAGTTGCAGCAACATGTTGCGGCGACACATCGCAGCGACAAATCGCTTCGTGTGTGCTGGAGAGATTTTGTGAAAACCCTTGTATCAGCAACAGAATTTTGTCGCGGCGACAATTCGCATAAATTCTGTCTGATTTGATTTTTTGCAACATGTTACTGCAACAAAATTATGTTGCAGAGACGAAAATTTTCACAAAAATTCTCCATTACAGATGAAGCGATTTGTCGCTGCCACGTGTCGTTGCGACATGTTGCTGCAACTTGTCGCCTAGTATGTGTCGGCCATTATGATTCTATGACAGAAGAATTTTACTTCATGGTTGAGTTTGGTAATCTTTTAAAAACATTACCCATATTGCTTTGCGATCTCTACGCGTAGGCTTTCCACCTCTATATAAAGCTCCTTGCATCGTGGTGTGAGACAAGATTTGAATCCTTTCTAACCATAATTTTTTTCTGTGCTTTCCTTGGTTAACAAACCCGATACCGCGTGTTCTCATTTTATTCATCCCCCCTCTTTTTCTTGGCCTTCCTAATCGAAGGTATTCGCACACAGAAATTGTTGAAAGTAAATTTAAAGATTGTTTTTACAATCGAGGAAGAGCCAAAGGAATTGTCTGTGCTATTGAACTCCTTCTGTGGTAAGTATACAAGAACATTTATTTATCGGAATTCAAATACGTCGAGCAAAAGAAATCTAAAGCAGGAATTTATGTTATATTTGATAGGCCCTACAAAGAACACGGAAGTAATGGCGAAATGAAACTTTTCTGCACCGGCTACTCTCGAGTAGGGATTACTAAAAATTTAAATTTGAAAGGAAAAACGAAAAGGATTCTGGTCGTAGTAGTAAAATGACACCATCGTGCAAATGGCCTATTGGAACAGAAAGGTTCGTATATTTTATTCACAGAAGAAACTTGCAAAACAATGAAAAAAAAAAACAGAATAAGACGAAAGCGTAAGCCATTTGTTTAATAGTTCGACACTCCTTGTTTTTATTACAGAAATATCACTACTCGCTTCCTCTGCGCTCACTCGTTCAATTTCTGATACGTTGGTTTTGTTGTCATCCAGAAATAGTGCTACCATGGTAACGTGACGTCACACTTCTCTTCTCTATTACTTCCTGCGACAGGGTGGGAAAGGGGGGAGAGGGGATCGGAGGCCCCCTCTATAACTTAAAAACAACTCCTGGTATAACTACCATAATTGTCAGAATTATGTACTCATCATTTCTAACATCGAGGTATAACTTGATTGACACAATAACTTCGTGTGACGTCAGTGTCGAATTTACTGTCAGAACCGAAATTTCATCAATTTTCCCCCTAAAAGTAGGCATAAAGCAAAAAATCCTTAAATAGTTCATTATCCCTTTCTCTGACTAATTAGCATTAAGGTATGGAACGAGATCCCTGTCGAGGAACACGACAAAGGACTCCGAGTTCTAATTATGTCCGAGAAAGGGAGGGAGGGAGGGCTGACCCTTTTCACTGACACTCTTTGGGAACTGATAACTTTGCATATATTATTCAGGTTTATATAATGCCTAATACGTCATCGCACGGAATGACGAATATTACATGACTGCAAATAGTGCAAATGGAAATCACAAGATCAGAACACAATGGAATGCTACAAAGTCCGTCCCAAATGCATTAACAACCGTGGGGAACAACACTTTCACACTAAAATGTGAACTATGCTCTCCAGTAACGTGCGTGCTTGCAAGAAGAGTTTCCCTTCCCCTTGCAGGGACGTAACTAACCGCACCAGTCATAAAAAATAGAATGCAACAGTAAAAATACAAACAAACAGAAACAAGAAACGATGAAAAGAAAAACGGCATTTTTTGGGTAACTCGATAACTCGATAACTCGGTAACTCGATAAATAGCCAATCCCCATAGTGCTAGCTAGGATCTTCCTACCTCTCAGCTAGGAAGATCCTAGCACTAGGTACAAGTACAACCCTTTGCATGTAAACTGAATATAGGAAACATATGGTGCTGGGATGATCCTGATAGGATCTTACTCCTTCCATATAGACAGCCCCTTAAAATGATGTGGTGGATGAATGAGGTAGGGAAAGAAATTTGCTACAGCCTGCAATCCTGACATAAGTGAAGGATTCAACAGACTCTTCTTTTTCTTTTAGTGACATCTTTTTTAGCCAGTTACATGTGTGTCTGTAAATAAATACACCTGCAACGCTCCCTGCGTGACATCGGTGATTGCTATACATTGTACTCACCATCTTTCATCTCATTAGCTAAAAGCCTACAGTTAACTTTGGAAATCAGAGCAACCTACAGATAAGTCATTTATCTGTATCTGCTAGCAGATATCTGACCAATTTGGTTTCCAGGGGCCGCGATCCTTTTGGTCAGCCACGGGGAGTCGGGCATGACAAAAGGAACCCGTGCATGGGGAGGAGGTCGATAACTGACTAACCTGTAAATTGCGCACGCAGTGCATTATTTCCAAGAGCAACTTTACACTGTGTTGCCTGTGATGGTGTCTGTCTCTAACAATATAATACTGTGTTTTCAGGGTTGCCAGGACAACACAGCTCTTCGCGTTGTATTCCAGGAAAACATTTACTTGGGGAGTTGCAGTAGCTGCTGTAAGTGATGGTTAATCACCTTCAACGGCGCCTTGTGTAGTGTAACGGTCTTCTGC